GAGTTTCACTGTGGTTGCCCAGGCTGGAGCACAATGGCGCAGTCTCGGCTCACCACAACCTCTGCCTCCTGGGTTCAAGTGATTCTCCTGCCTCAGCCTCCTGAGTAGCTGGGATTACAGGTGCGTGCCACCACGCCCAGCTAATTTTTTGTATTTTAGTAGAGACAGGGTTTCACCATGTTGGCCAGGATGGTCTCGATCTCCTGACCTCGTGATCCACCCACCTTGGCCTCCCAAAGTGCTGGGATTACAGGCGTGAGCCACCACGCCTGGCATATGTTAATTTTTATGTTTACATTTTATAATGTCCATCTGTATTTCTTTTATAACATATCTTCCCTTATACCTAAGGACTTTGTGTTAATTTATTGGACATTAAAATATTTCTTTGAGTGATTTTTAAAGAGTATGTGTTGGAATCTGCGTATCTGAAAATATTAAATGGATGTTTGTCTGACATGGCAATTATAACTATAGGAAATCTTCCTAAGGAACTGATAGTAGTATGTAAACATGTATGTACAAGTTTATTTTGCAGTTTTATTACAAAAGCAAAACTTAGAAAGTAATAAACATCTATAGATACCAGTCAAATAAAATATAATTTTCTCTAGACATAACTGCAAAATCTTGTTTTATTACCTTTGTCATCTAAAATTAATATAAATATAATCTTTTGCCTGTTTCATGTGCAAGTTGAAATTGTAACATACATTTAGACCATATAAAGCAAGCATTAGCATGTCAGACTGAGAACATCAATAATAGGGGCCGGATGTGGTAGTTCACACCTGTAATCCCAGTGCTGCATGAGGCTGAGGCAGGAGCTTGCTTGAGCCCACGTTATCGTGAACTATGATTGCACCACTACATTACAGCCTGAGCGATGGAACGAGACCCTGACTCTAAAAAAAAATTATATTTAGTACCTTTTTTCTATTTGTCAGATTAAATATTGGCTAGCTAAACGTATTTATTATTGATTTCTTTTTTTTTTTTTTTTTTGAGAC